GATTAATATTGCCACTCCTGCTCTTTTTTGAGTGTTGTTTTCTTGATATATTTTTTTTCCGTCCTTTGAGTTTTAGTTTGTGTCTTTAAGTCTAAGGTGTGTCTCCTGTAAGCAGCATATAGACGGATCGTGTTTTTTTTTTTAATCTAATCTGCCACTCTCTGTCTCTTTATTGGTGTATTTAGTCAGTTTACATTCAGCGTAATTATTGAAAGGTATGAGTTTAGTGCTGTCATTTTGATGTCTTTTTTGTGTGTTGTTGACAGTTTCTTTGTTCCACTTAATTTTCTGTGCTGAGTCATTTTTCTTTGTGTATTTTCTTTTCATCTTTTTCATTGTTGTTGATTTTGTATTTGCTGAGTCTTTACATTTTTCTTGTTTTTTATTTTGACGTGGAGGATGGTTAGTTTCCTTTGTGGTTACCTTAATATGAAGTAGTTATGGTTCTGCTACCCCCATTTTTCATCTAAGGAAATGGAGGCTTAGAAAGTTAAGCAAAGGATCCAAGGTCACACAACAAGTAAGAGCTGTTCAAGACCAGGGGTTCTCATCAAGACCTTGGGAGGGGTCCTAATAATTTTGTATTTATAATTTTGTATTCTTTTTCTTAAAGAGGCACCCTCACAAAAGTCCTCAAGTGTAGATCTGAGTTAAAAGTAGAATCCATTTATTGCCAACGGACCTGGGCGGGAAAGTTCAGTTCCAAGTGCTGTCGGTGCCCAGGCGTGCTCAGTACTCATGTTCTCCTTCTGAACATGCCCCTGCGCTGCTCCTGGCGTCACCGGAAGCAAGACACTTGCCCAAATGTGGATAAGCGCTCTGCTAACATCTCAAGTGTGGTCAGAGGCAACCTGAGGTGAACTGACTCTGTGTACTTCCACAGGGACTATTCTTCAGTTCTTTCTTTTATCTGTACTTCATTTGGGGGGCCTTTGATTTTATGGAGTCCCCGGTGCAAACAGTTAACATGCTTGGCTGCTAACTGAAAGGTTGGCAGTTCGAGTCCACCCAGAGGCATCTTGGAAGAAAGGCCTGGAGATCTACTTCTGAAAAATCAGCCATTGAAAACCTTATGGAGCAGCTCTAATCTGACACACTTGAGGTCGCCGTGAGTCATAGTCGATGAACGGTAACTGGTTGGTTTGATCTTATAGCGTCAGAAAGCTTGTCAGACTGTTACTTCAATTCATTTCCAGCTCCTTTGGAGCTGGGCCATCCCATTTTGTCTTAGAATATCTGGGCCTTTGGCATACACCTATCTTTTCCCCTCTTTCAAAATGGCCCTTTTTGTATTCTCTGTTTTGATGTTCTTGGGGCAGCCCTTTATTTTTTGTACCACTCACACATCTTGTTTACTTACAGACAATATGCTCATTCTTGCTTCTGTGACTCTGCCTATGTCTCTCCACCCCAGAGTCCCTCCCTGACTTCCATTGCTCTGGGCCCCAGAGGTTGCCAGAACTAAAGCCCACGTTTGCCCCAAGCCTCAAGTACTCTCAGGGCAAGGTGGCCCGCACTTGTGCTCCTTAGATCCTGGCCTGGAAATTTCTTATTTATTACCTTATCAATCATTGATGCTTTTAGGTTCTTTTTTTTTTTTTTTTTTTTTTTTTAATGGAGAATTTTTAGTTGTGAGAGGGCTGGTCTAAATAACCTCGCCCACCATTCCCAGAAATGGAAGTCCTTACATAAAAGGCTATAAATTTCTATTATTACCAGTGCTTCTCGATAATCTACTTAAATCCTTTTATTTGTTTTTCAAAGGAAGAAGAGACATTGGATTAATTCCTTGAGGGCAGAAACTACATTTATTTCCTTTGGTTTCCCTACATATGTGAGGACATGATGTCCAGGGCCCAGACTTGGGTGAGGGAAGTGAGGCACTCACCTCAGACGTAAAATTTAAGAAGGTGCCAAAAAACTGAGTAACCAAGATAAATAATATTTAACGCAATAATTTTTTTTAAAAAATTAAAACTCAGGCATAAAAATAATCCATGATGAACAAAATATCAACATTTTAAATAAACAAGAACCTGCCCCTGTACTTGCGTGGGTCACTTCACTTGCCTCACCCTAATCCGGCCCTGTCAGATCCTGTCTTTTTAAAATACTGCATTAAAATATAATTTACCTTGATTACTGACTTTTTGGTGCCCCCTTAAATTTTGTCCCACAGATGAGGGCGTCAGGTACCGCACCCTAGTCCCGGCCCTGAGACTTTTGGTATTTTCATTTCTGTGGACTTCAGGTGGCCTGGCAGACTGGGTAAACTCTTGACGCCCAGTCAATAGGTTTTTTAGCACAACAAAACCCAGGTACAGATTTGGCTTCAGGCACATTATTCATAATTCTTGTATTGTTCCCTTTTATTCACCTCCTCTAGAGACAAGGGCTCAAGTGCCCGATTAAGAAGAAGCAAATCTGTCTTCCACTCCTGGGTTTACTTGACAGGTCCCCTGCTCTGGGCTTTTTAAGGCTGTTTTAGGTAAACAGCTAGTAGCTTACTAAAAATACTCTTTTTCACTGCCAAATTAGAAAAAGAGAAAATACTGTATAAGAGCAAGGAGAGGCTGGGACATGTGAGGGAGTTTCCAAAGCAGCAGTCACCACCCATGCCAAGAGCTTGAGCCCTCCCTAACTGAGCTGCGTTAGATTGCACCTGATGTCAAGATGAGAGAAGTTACAGCAGGGATGGCTCCTAATCAAACCCTCTCTTTCGCTGTTCCAAAATTAGCTTCCTCTGTAGCTGGGTCCGGTGGTGAGGAGAGTAAGTCGGCAGAGAGGGGTGTGATTGGCCGGGCTCCTGTTTTGAAAGCTTTCTCCTGGACTTAAGATAACACTGCTCAGAAGATGGATGTGTGTATAACAATTTCCCACTTTATTACCTGCAAAGGGAAAAAAAAGATATAAATAGATGTTCAACCACAAGAATAATGTACATTACTGTCTTCTCTATGACTATGAAATAATAAAATAAAATAAAATCAAGAGCGATGATGATTTCAGCACAGTGGTTACTAGGCAAAAACTGATATTTACGCTCTGGAAACCAAACTGAAATAAAAAAAACTCACAAGATAGGTATTGGGAGCACACCGTGGAGTTGTTCTTGGTCCAAGTTTTCATTGAATTTTCAAGTAAAAAGTGTTTTTTTCCCCTCCATAATTTCTTTCATTATGAGGATCTATGGCAGGTAGTCATTCATTGTTGGGATGCCTGTGGCAGAAATATCCTTGTTCAATCTCCAGGCTAATGAGCTTCATGCAGAATAAGAGCTCAAGAAAAGAGGAGAAGGAACACATACCTAGGAGCCTTAGTCCTTTCCAGCTCTTGAGAATCTTATTATCTCTCCTGGACATTACGTACCTTTCAGCTGACCCTAAACAATCACAGCTGAAAGGCAGAAAGAAATGAAAACAAAACAGAGAGAAATATGAGTCCCTAGGACTGGCAGGAGGTTCCTTGGATGGCACAAACGGCTAAGCAATCAACTGCTAGCTGAAAGGTTGGTGGTTCAAACCCACCTAAAGGCGTCTAGGAAGACAAGCCTGGCAGTCTGCTTCGGAAAGATCACAGCCTTGAAAACCTTATGGAATAGTCCTACTCTGCACACATGGGGTCATCATGAGTAGGAATCAACTGGAGGGCAACTAACAACAACAACAGGACTGGCAGGGGCCATGGAGAGGTTGTCCAATCTACTCATCTACTGTCTGACAAGATGAGGTCCAAACCACGCCCAGTGGATGCCAATCTCTTCTTTCCAGAGAGCTGCACTGAAGGGGGCGCTGTAACTTCCATAAGTAACGTTCTGAGGCCTTGACATCTGCCCTGCAGAAGTTGAGATGGGGGGTCGGGAGGAAAATTAAGATAAGCACCTGGCTGTCTTACTGTTGCAGTTTAGGTACAGAAATTGGTGAGTTTCGTGTGTTAGAGTTCAATCCAGGATATATTACGTTTTAGAAATTTCTTGGAAGTATCTTAGCGCTAGCATTTGGTGTTCTTGGTATCAGAACTGTCCCTTACCTGCATGGATTTAGCTAAGATTTTAAATGTTTCTTGGAATTTCTGTTTTAGTTCATCATTTGCAGTTTTTTGATGAGCCCCCCACAGCTACGGCTCTTCCAACATAATTACCCCCGCTGGAGTGTCATCTTGGGCTACTGCATAGGAACCTCGTCTTTCATCTGCATCCCTACGTATATAGCTTATCGGCTGATCACCACTCCAGGGACCTTTAAGGAGGTATGTGCTAGTGTGTGTGCGTGCGTGCGTGCGTGCGTGCGTGCGTGCGTGTGTGTGTGTGTGTCTGTGTTAAGACTGGTAATAGTAATGTTTCTGGGAGAAAAGGGTTCTCTTGTTAAGTCCATCACATGAAATTCACCAGGAGGCTCTCAACCTTATGTATTTATATTTCTACACCGTGGTCTCTAACATCTTATCTGTGAAGGAGGGAAGCCTAGTATGAAATTTTGGCCTGGGTTTAAAAAAAAAAAAAGACTAAGGGAAAGGTAAATTTCTTAACTCTTTTGGACCCTCATCATATACAAGGTTGGAGTTTGTGGAGTGAGTCGCCACTTACGCACCTGCAGCCTGGATGTCTTAAGGTGGGAGTCATCCACTGGATTAGGTCATTGTTGCAGAATTCCCCTAGTAACCTGAACAAAGATACTGGAAGATGTCCCTAATAAGTAAGTGTTCATGAAGACATCAACAAGAATCCATTTTTTTAGGTTAGCTGGTTATCACCTTGCAGAAGGCCAGAGCCTGGAAAATTTCTGGCAGCTGGAATATTGACAAATAAGGGGAAAAATAGTGGGCCTGGAATTTTGGGAGATAGGCAGCCAGAAGGGCAGCAGAATGAGTGAGTGGAGGCTAGGACACAAAAGCCAGAAGTTCTACTTTATAATGCTCATTGCTGGCCATGCCCCCACCATACATATAACTTAGTGCTCCCTTCTGTCTCTGTACACCATGGCTCCACTCAAGACTTGTCAGAGTGATCTGTGTCCAGTTCTTGATTAGCTAGACATAATTCTAATCAGTTTTGGGTTTCATATTTATCTATGAGGATGGACCAAACCAAAACCAGACTTGCCGTCAAGTTGATTCTGACTCATAGCAACCCTACAGGACAGAACAGAACTGCCCCACAGGGTTTCCAAGGAGCAGTTGGTGGATTCAAACTGCCAAACCTTTCGGTTAGCAGAGGTGGCGCTTAACCACTGCACCATATGAGGATGGACAGTTAGTGAAATTTTGCATTCTAATGACTTGGTGTGTCCTGGTAGCTGATGAGCACTGCAGTAAGTTTTGTTTTTGTTTTTGTTTTTTAATGGATTTCTAGTGTGAGATTTTGGTGCTTGAATAATAAGGTCATGAGTGACACAAAGGGTACAATTTTGTGAATTTCATTAGCTATGAGACTGGAAGTTTCTGAATTCCATAGGCCCTGCTCCTTAAAGAAGAACAAATTCTAGAACCAGGAAATAGAAGAGATTAGAGGGGACTACATATTTTTTCAATTTAAAATAAAAAGGACAAGTAGCAGGGCTTTACCTAAAATTAATAAATCAAAATATGCTTTCAGATCCAATTATGCCTTCTTACCATATGTGCAGACTTTGGGGCCATCAAAAATTTTACTAAGTAACTTAATAAAGATTTTTCTAAGCATCTGTGGTGCTGCTGCTTTTCTTTCTCCACATCCCTGAGCTGCTTCATGTCACCCTAATACAAAGTTTTCAAAGGTAGTTAACACATTCCATACCCAAGCCCAAGCATATTTCACATGTCTTAAAGCTTCTGTGTATTTCAGCTATTTCTAAAGTAGATTCTCAGCCTTTTCCTTGTTATGAGTACTATATCAACATGTGATTGCTTTAGGATTGATGACTTAAATGGCCACATTTTAAAAAAATTTATTTATGTCATAATTTGCATAACTGTGCAAACTAACCAGTACTTTTTTGCAAGTCGGTTAATTAAATCAGTAATGTCCTGGTCGTTACAGTAACTGGATGACACTGTGCACTGTGGCTCTAGAGCAGGGTTTTGAACTTGTTCTTCCCGGTTTAATCATGACTGAGGAAGCAACAACCGAACAGACCCAAATTTTTTAAACTTGGGTCACCTGGAACCATAACCAGAATGGGAAAAATTAAGTATCAAAGCCCTGCTGGAAACTTAATCTCCCTCTTAGAAAACAAGGGCAGTGTACATGTTGCATAGCAACCAAATCTCGCCTGTTGGATTCTGCGCAGAGTCACAAATAGCGGTGTCCGGCTCAAAGATGGCGGCTGACTGCGCCGCTTTGAATGCGTGTTATTCTCCTCACTCCTGGCAATAATCCAGTCTCACCCATCAGGCTCCTGAAAGGGCTCAGTATGCCTCTTCCGAGTCTCTTATTCCAGGGGTTTGGCCCGTAATTTTTACTGTTCCAGTTATGGTTCTGGATCACCCAAATTTTAAAAACTTGGCGTCTGTGCTTAAAAACTTGGGCCTCTTCTGGTTTCCCTTTGTTGGCCATGACTGAACCATTTTGAACCCTTTTGAATCCCTGTTCTAGAGTATATACAGAGTATAAGGAGCGCATCTGAGCGGGGTGGGGAACTGAAGTCCAGCATTCACTCTGCTCCCCAAGCCCTATGTGGCTGCATCAAGCTTCCTGTCTTCAAGGTGCCCTTTCCCAAGTCATTCAAAGACATATATAGGCCAGCAGAGGCCCATTGAAGCCTCATGTTTTACCATCAGTGCCATAATGGTTTTTTAAATTAGTTTACAGATGCTTGTAGTTCCTGAATATATCATTTTAAACCATAATTGGGAAAGGATAAATATTGAGAATTCCCTTCTTAAGGAAAGACAACGGGAGTATTCCAACTTACTATTAAATACCATTTTGATACCTTTGTTTTAGTATTAATGCTGAAATATTTTTGCAACCCTGTCAAATTACAAGAATATTTATATTACATTTTCTTCCCAACAGCGTATTATTAAAAGTATCACTCCAGAAACACCAACAGAAATTCCCTGTGGGGACATACGCTTGAATGTTGTGTAACACGCTTTATTGAGAGGAAAATGGCTTCCCAACAACCTCTTCCTCCACTTCTGACCTTGTAACACCTCGCCTTCTCCCTCTAAGTGAGTTAGTTTCCAGTGAAGCCTGACAATGGAAGGGTCTCCTTCACAGAGACACAGTCGCAAAAGACTATGGTGCCCAGACTCTTATGGCCTCCAGCCACTTCTTTCCATGAAATCTCCTGGACATATGACCACGTTGGACTCTACCTGTGATGCAGCTAAACTGGCTCATTTTGGACAAGTGAAGGGTGTGTGTGGAAGGTGATGACAAACGTCCTATCAGGATTAGGATTAGAGTCAAGTCTGTGGAAGTCTCCTGTGTCATTTCTTGGCATGATCATAGGTATCTGACATCTGTTTGCTTCTAAAGGTTTCACTGCTCATGAATGCATAAACCACGTAGGATAAAACAGGGATCCTGTCTTGCTAGCCATCTATTTTCTGAGTAGCGTAGAATTCTATAGCTGGAATCTACTAAAATCCTCTAAGCTGTGGAGTCAGAAGCAGAAGATATAAGAAGCTAAACTGAAAATTATGTGTACATGTGAGCTTGTGTGTCTTTGTATACTGCTGTTTTAGTGTATCCGTATCTCTCCCTATTCCAGTTCTTTGGGCCCATTACAAATCACATGAATTTCCTGAGAGTTTTCGTACATTAACAAATTCTACTCACTTAAATGCGTATCGTATGTTGTTATTTGAAAGGTACAATTATTACAAGATGTTCTGCCACCTTCTCCTTTTCTAGTGACACTACTTTAGCCCACACACCTTCCTTTATGGGCCAATCTTTAGCATTTGCTGCACTTCATTGCCACTTCCTGTCTCACTCTGCTAAACAGTCAAGAAAATATTTCACAGGCAAATTTGGCTTCTCTTTAGCCACTGTGGCTTGGCTGTGAACTACTTTGAAGATGTCAACACAGGCACCTTCAGTGTTCAGTTGGCCATCTGGTTTAAGCTGTATCTACTGCAGATGACTGAATTTGACGATTCAGGTTACCTTGCTTGGTGAAGAGAATATAAATCCAATTTTCACTTAGCCCTAGGGTATATAGCTCTGGAACCCTGACCATAAACCAAGAGCTTCCTCAATGCAAGAGCAGTTGGGAGAGTCTGGGTTAGCCTTAAATGGATCTCCCTCTCCCCATCTCCAGCCATCACCCTTGACCCTTCATGTGATTATGGTTGTGAGCCTTCCAGATAATTTTCAAGACTGAGTCTAAGGCTGATTGAGTAAGGGCCAATTAAGTGAATGATCTTTTATTCCACATAAAGTTCTTAATGCAGATCAAGTACATTTAGCCTTTGGTGACTCCCAGATGCCTAAGTAGAGAAACAAATTCTACCTTGTAGTATGAGATTTTTCTTATCAAAATCTTAAAGAGAGTAAAATACTTTTTAAAATAGATTAGAATTTCACCAAGTCAGGTGTTAGATGAATATATAGGAACTTTCAAACGCTACTAGACTGGAAAAAAGTAAATCTAAAATCTGTTTGTTTTACATAGTTTGCATTTATTTGACCCCTATTTATTAATACTACCTATGAAATTTTTTAAAGGAAAACTTAAGAGTAGGTAGATAGATTTTAAGTTATCATTTAAAGACCTTTTACATTCAATGTGGTATTTACATAAAAGTAAAAAATAAAAATGGAATTGAATTGTAAAATTATTTAAGGACTGAAGTTGATTTATTTTCTTGTGATTTTATCAGTAAGAAATATACAATAGGCCAAGACAAGACAAAGGCATGAAAGCAGTTTGATTATTAGAGGTTATTTCTTATATTGATGTACAATGAAGTCCAAATATTTCATCTCCAAACTGAAAACTTAGAAACCGTTTAAAACTTATTCCATTTGTTGGCTGGAATGCATATGAATTCACTTCCCTGCATTCTCCATCTGTGAAAAGGAGATGGGGGCAAAGACCCTGACAAATCCAAGTCAATAAGCTCCAAAATCAAATAATGAAATCACAAAATAAGGCAAAAAGTTATTCTACAAGATGACTCACTCCCTCTCCACCCCCTTTTTACTAAGTTTATTAATTTGGTACTGCCAATCTCAAAATTTAAGTCTGAATTTGCATTCAACTCACCCATCCTTAAAAAGAGAGATTATTCTCCTGGAATTAGGATCATATTCTCCAGATAAACAGGAAAGACTGACCTGATGCTTCGTATGTTGTGTGATTCTGATTTAGAGTCACTATCAAAAAAACAGATCTTGCAACTATGGAATGCAATGGCTTAACTGTGCTGTTCTTACGCGTATCTTAGACAATGCTTGGCTATTCAGTTACACCCAAGCCTGATTCCTTTCTTAGCATGTCTCTTTACTCATTAATCAACATCTGGTGCTTAAGATACCAGAATTGTCCAGGATGACTGTCTTCATTAAATATGCAGTAATCAGAGTAATCTCATTCCCTTTTTGGGGGGGGTGGGGGGTTCAGAGTAAGGGAGGATGGAAAGTAGTTCCTCAGAGGGATTTTATGTTAGAGCCATAACATCAAAATAGTCCTATGCTACATGGTAAGAAGTTGTGTATTTCAAAGTCATTGCAGAGCTCACACACGTTTTAAAACATAGAGTAACACTAAGGGCTCTTGAAGTGCTCTAAACTAGGAAGGTGAGTGTAGTTAAGCGCTTGCTTGGGAAGCATGTTAGAGAATGAAATTTATAAATCTAAATATGGAAAAAAAACAAAACAAACCAAGGACGTGACAGAGAATATCCCCATATTGCAGAAAGCTTTTCAGGTCCACTTGAAACATTCTGGTTTCTGAGTTTTTTTCTTCAATGTCAGAGATGAGTCAATGAAAGTGTTTACTAAAGCTTGAATTTAGTTCCTTGGGAGAAATATTTCAATGCCCTGGGTCTTTTTAGTACTTTCTGTAGTAATCACCCCTTCCCCTCATTGCTTAAATTTTAATAATAATCTTTTAAAGTTCAAAGAACTCCATTAGAGACAGAGGCAAACCTAGTGACCAAGTTAATTTTCTTGCTCTTCTTGGGATCTGAGAAATTTCTAAATGAAGGTGAGCTTAAGTTTTATTTCCTCAATAGAAATAATACTCCTCTCAGTTGCTTTTGTAGGCACTTAACACAATGGAAAAGATAAATATTTTAAGATGGAATCTTAAATATGTCTCTCCTTTTGTTTCATATGGTTGGAATCCATTCAGTATATCTACATTAAGTGTTTCAAAAAAGCTCACCTTTTCAACAGAAGTGTTCTTTTCTTGGAAATTATTAACAATATATTTCATTTGGAATGTCAAGTGATACTCATCTTACCAACGCATCACAAAATTCATGCCAAATTGTTCTATCACAAATGCGTAATTTTTCTGTCAAAATAGGTTTTCTACACTGGCCAACTCTAATTTGGAAACAGTGTGCGTCGGTGGAGTACCTCATCAGAAAAATATTTTAGTATCTGCTGAATCTTGTCAATGGGGGAGAGAATAAATGACATCAAACCTTTAGTTTTATAATTGAAGACTCCAAGTGTAATGGACAATTTATTTCTAGCAATTTGTAAACACTGAGTCCAAACATTAAGTGGGTGTGGAGGGGTGTCTGTCCCATCTTTATGCTAAAATACCGTAAGAGCATTTACTAATTAAAAAAAACTATTTTGAAAGATTACTCTTGTTCAAACTCTAAAATAAGAAGTGTACCTCACCTTCAGGATCTACTCAACGGCACACACCACCACCACCTTACCTTAAGAAAACTTGATATAAGAAAACTGTGTATTTTAAGATAAAATTAGGGACTTTATGTAAGAACTCAGTTATTCTAGTGTTTTTTTTTAAGATTTGTATTTTTTTATTGTACTTCAGGTGAAGGTTTACAGAACTAAGTTTTTCATTACTAAGGTTATTTTAGAAAGATGTGATGTACAAACAACTTTTCAGGATACTTCTATTGTGTGCTGGGCCTATCAGTGAGGTGCTCTAAATTTTGAGTTATAAAAATATTTTTTTCCTCATCTTCACTTTCTTCTACATTACTTACAGCTAAGGATAGTAAATTTATTCCCCTGTATTCACCTCTGTTAACAGTGGTAATATGAAAATTTCCAGTTATCTTTTAACATGAAAAATTTTTAAACTTTAGTGGCAGAATTGAAGTTTTATTTGTTTACAAGATCCCCTTTCTGATGCATGTGTCTCTGTATTCATTTATGCAGTTTATTTACAAATGAGCTAGACTGTAAGGTATGAGTAAATGCCTTATACTGTGAACTGCTACTGTAATAACTTTATCATGATAGATTTGTTCTCATTCAGAAAGTCCAAACTCTTAAGGTTAAAATAAAAAGCTTAACTGTATATTGTCAAAGCAATTATACATCCCAATACACCACTCCATGTCATTTGCAAATATTAGTATCAAAATGTCAAATTAAAAATATTACATTTTAGTAAATCTAATCATAATTCTTCATAAATTTGTGCAGAGCTTTATAATGTGCTTTCACATATATCATCTCATTTGAACACCAAAGCTCTGGGTGACACATTTTCCCAGTTTTGCAAATGAGGAGCCTGAGGCTCACAGAGGTTAACTGATTTTCCCCAAGTTCACACAGACGGAAAGTTGGAGAACAGATTAAGCCTAGATTTTCTGATTCCAGGCCAAAGTTTATTTGCATGTCTATCTTTAAAATCAGCATCACAGAAGTCTGGGACATCCAAAGAGTGATTCAACCTCAGACTAGATTTTTTTTCTAAACTGCCAGGATGTTCTATTTCATTTTAGAGTACGATGGGGAAGAGGAGTAGGAATAAGAACCTGAAGCAGATATATCGTGTGTGTGTGTGTGTGTGTGTGTGTGTGTGTGTGTGTGTGTTTCCTACGACTGGTTAACGAAGATGCTCCAGGTAGCATCACCACACTAAATCCAATCCTTGTACTATACAGATTGTTTAAGAAAGGTATTGATTGGGTCCCTAGAGAAAGGTGTTAAGATTTAAAAAAAAAAAAAGTTGCCTACAGTTAATTCCAACTCCTGCCAAACCTACGAGTTTTGGAGTAAAACTGCATTCCCTCCCAAAAAGAATAACATAAGCAAAACGTGGAGACAAGACCTAAGAAAAGAGCGGGACCAAAAACGAGGCTCAAATGTCACACCAGAGTGACCTCCACATGAGCTACTTGCTGTGCCACAAATCTGATCTTAAGCTTTCTTAGAGATACCTGTTTCATCAGACTATGTTGTTACCAAGGTTTAGCGGTCACCTTAGGTGGTGCTGCTTTTCCACATACTTTGTTACTATTTAAAATAAATGCTAATATTGCCAATGTTTTGAGTTGGGGAACTCCAATATTAAGTGTAATATTTCAATTATAGGATTCTCCTTGGGGTCTCTGCTTCAGTTTTGGACATCACCAAATAATAATTCTGAAAATCTCAAAACAATGACCAGTATTCATTTTTTTTACATAGTTTTTATAAATTAAAAAATGCAATAGGCGAAATGAAAGAGATAGTTAATGTTGACATCTGAATTAATGGACTTTGAATCAAAAATGGATTATACCTTATAGACACAAAATACAAAAACACACAATACAAAAATGAAAAAAAGGATACATTTCCTACATTCTCCTACATGACCACAATACAATAACAAAGTTTAAATAAAAACTTCTCTAAACGTCCATTCATGCCAGCACTATAGGAGGCACTGGGGATTCAAAGGTGAATTAAGATTGGATTCTTGCCCTCTAATAACTGACATACTACCAGGATGCCATGATAGTATTAAGCACAGGATACAAAGGAAGCACAGAGGTGTTGCTAAAACAAAGAGGGGTATTAGGAGAGGCTTTCTAGAGACAATGACACCAAAGCTCAGTTATAAGGATAAGGAGTGAGGCAGGAACGTGGCACTTCAGGCAAAGCAATCAGTATGTGAGAAGGCACGATCAGCACGAGATAGCATATGTATTTGATTTGAGTAAGGGCGAAAAATTGGAGGGAAAAGCAAAATTAAGATATTTCGAGTCATTCGTATTTTATTGAAAATTGAGTCAGAGAAACAGATATTTATCAATTCACAAAATTTCTAAGTATACTATTTTGGACTTCATGTTTAAAAGAACATATGATATTTAGCAACAAATTTAATGAACCCCTTATTCACACTGGTCCAGATAATACACTATCAAAGAACTGCTGCCCTATGCATAAGTCACTCAACAAATCAAGTCTATGTAGCTGCTTTCTGTAGAAATGTCTAACCAGGATGGCAAACAGTTCCTTCTATTCATATACTAAAAATGTTAAGATTACAAAAATGCTCATTTTGAGACATATTATGCAAACAGAATATACAAAACATATTTACAGTTCAAAAAATACAGTTCACAACTGAGTCATCATCATTGATGTTAAGAAACAGAATGTTGCCAGATCTAGAAGGCCTGTGTGCCTCTTCCACATCACAAATGTTATCCTGACTTTCGTAATAATCACTCCCTTTAGTTTCACCACCTATCCATTATCTCTATACAAGACAGTTCACTTTTTCCTGTGTTTGAACTTTATATAAATGTTATTACTTTCTGTTCCTCACAAAACTCATTCAAGCTGTTGTATGTAGCTATAGTGCGTTCACTTCATTGCTGTATTATATATATATCAGATTCTTTACTACCGATGGACATGTAAGATGTTTCCAGTTTGATGAAAAACACTATTATGAACATTCCTGGTGCATCTGTGGAAAAACACTTAAGTTATAAGAAATATGCAGCTTCACCATCATGTGGTAAAGCCAATCAGTTTTCCAAAGAGGCCGTACCAGTTAATCTACCACAAGTAGCATATATAAATTCCTGTTGCTCTATAATTCATCAATGCTTGGTATTCTACAACTAACATTTTTTGCCAACCTAATGGGTGTGTAATTGTGGTTTTAATTTGAACAGATTTTCATCCATACCAAGTGTCTTTGATATTCATATGAAAAAAAAAAAAAAGAATCTTAATCCCTGTCCTACACCACACACAAAAGCTGATTCCAGGTGTATGGTAGAGCTAATGTGAAAAGCAGACAATGGTTCTAGAAAGGCTGTCCAGTAGACCTTTCTGTGATGATGGAAATGTTCTATAATTCTGCACTTCTCATACGGTAGCCACTAGCTACATGTAGCTACTGAACACTTGAAATATGTCTAGTGAGACTGAGGATGTGAATTTTAAATTTTGTGTAATTTTAATTCAGTTAAACTTTATAAAACCTAACTGATTTCTGTTCATTAAAAGACACCATTAAGAGAGTGAAAAAAAAAAGCCATAGAGTGGGAAAGGATACTTGCAAAGACAAAGAACTCATATCCAGAACATAAATAGAACCCCTCCAGGTCACTGAGGAAAAAAATGGGGAGACTGAAAGACTCTTCAAAAAGGCGATACCTAAATGCTACTCAGTATATGATAGCGCCATCAGAGAACCGCAAAATAAAACCACGAGATACCACCATACCCACCAGAATGGCTAAAATCAAAAAACTAACAAATACCAAGTGTAAGCAAGAACATGGAGCAACTGGAATTCTCATACACTGATGGAGGGAGTGTATTTGATACAACTATTTTGGAAAACTGACTAGTAGATATCTACGAAAGCGTATCCTATGAATCAGCAATTCCATTCCTAGGAATTACCCAACAAAAAAATATATATGTATGCAGCAAAAGACAAGTACAAGAATGTCCCTAGCAACATTATTCATTCTTCATTAAGCACCTATAGGGACTTAGCACACTATTACAGTTGCTTGGATACAACCAAGAACGTGGTGTATTCTAAGTAAATATTACATAAATTCAGTCAAATATTCAAGGTAAAAGGACTGACTTTTGATTGAAATCTACACCAAAAGTGAATTTTGATAATATATTTAAAAATACCCTCCCAAACCACTGTTAACACACTCCTTTTTGCTTTCACACAAACTCCAGCTTAATTTTCTGTGCTTCCACAGATCTTTCTACTGCAGCAACCATCAATCATCTTCTTTCTCAATATAGGTCTTTGCACTAACCCGCGCCATTTGCCTGGCCAAGTACCTGTCTCTAGCTGACATTACAGTGTCTTCATTGTTTCGCTTTGCAAATTTGTTCACAGCCTCAGGTGGTCTCTCATGTTCTTTGCTCTTCTCTTGCCTTTCCTCTGTGATTCTGTGTTTTGCTCCCAGTGATGTTTCAGAACTAGAGGGTTTCTCTTGGTTCCTTTCTTTCTCCTTTTCCATGTTTTTCATTTTGTTGGATTTTTCCTGGTCAAGCAACCTATCTTTTGCTCTAAAACTTGGGCTACTTTCCTTTCTGTCTCGATTTATTTCTGAAGATTGAACACTTCCTTCTTGTTTTTCCCTATCTCTATACTTATCATTGTTCTCATATTTTTCCTTCCTTCCTTTCATATGCTCTTCCTTTGCTTTGCTTTGCTTTTCCTTCTCTCCTCCTTTCTCACTGTGTCGGTCACATTCATTTAATTGTCTATCTCTTTCTTGTTCTCTTGGGATGTATTTCTCCCTGTCTTTCTCTCTTTTCCATTCTCTGTCATTTCCTTCTCTTCCCCTGTGGTCTCTTCCCCTTCGTTTATCTTCCTTTTCATGCCTCTTCCAGTGGGAATCTCTATGACTGGCCTCTCTGTGCCTATGGGAATCCTTCCTTTCTTTTCGATAATCACGGTCAGTGTGGCAGTTCTCCTGGTCCCTGGACTGTCTTTCTTGATGCTCATCTTCCCTTTTCTCATGTCCTCTTGACTTGGAACTTTTTGTGTGGCGTTTGGCACTGTGTCCTCTTTCTTCACTAGATGACCGTGAATGGGTTTGATTCCTGTGATGCTTGGGATCATTCTCAGAGAATTTTGTGCCTTTTTCCCTTCTGCAGTTCACTTTATTGTTTTCTTCAATTTCATCATCCTCACTAGTCTTAGCATCAAACTCACTGTCTGCATCTGGGTTTTCCTCTGCCTTCATACCAGTCTGGAGAATGCATTTCTCATGTGGTATTCTGTTCTCTAAACTTACTTCATCGGAGTAACCTCTTGATTTCTCTTCCTTTATACCAGACCTTTAAAAAATTACAAACACAAAATGCCACATTATGAATTTCAGTAAGCAAATGAAGTGCTAATACAATTTTCATCAATACTTAAATCAATGCAACATAATTATACATACTTTTTGATTATCCAAATGTGAAAAGATATTATGTCTATTTATTGTGTAAACATCTGCAAACTAGTATTTTCTAACATTCAAAATTTTATCAATATTTGTGAAACTCAAATAGATAAAATGACCCCTTCTCCACTGGACCACAAGAAGCTTCAGGAAGGGGTCTGTACAAGCTCTTCATTTTTGCTAAGTTTGGATGAAGAAGAATAATTAGAAAAACATGTTTTATATTTATATTCTATTTTCACAACATGAAGTTCAAGTTGTAGCTGTTTGATTTTTCTTTCCTTTTAAATTATTATAATGGTCCTGGAAACACACAAAGATAATTTTTTCAGAGCAAAATGGTGGCAAAACTTAATTCTGCTAAATAATCCCCCTCATGATTAAAATGGCACCAGCATCCTTTGGCACCTATCACAAGAAAATGGAAATACGTCATTTAAGCACAGTCAGCTATTAAAATCAACAACATTTAAAGAATTTACATCTTCTACATTTTTCCAGCTGACAAGTATGGTTAATTTATTAACTTCACCCACAAGCTCCATCTTACTAATCATACTAATACTGCAACAATTCTCTACAGTTGCTGGCAGAACTGTTTTGGCTAAAGGATCACTAATAGTTAGGAATTCTACTATTAGACTCTGAAAAGTACAATTGTGTATATGACAGTATGGAGTTTCGTGGCTGGCCTCACAACTATTCCAGATGAAACTCTTTAGTAGGGAAGTCATAATGCATTACAATTTCCATTCACAATCTGAATCTTCAAATACATTTTCTTTCAACTTCCTCTCCTCACTCTTAATTCCACCTCTCCCCAGCAACAGACTCAGATCCTCTAATCAGAATGTTTCTATTTCAAAAACAAGTTTGCTCAGATACAGATTTCAGACAGTCTCCCTTTTACCTTCAACTATATACTTACAGCATAATCATCTCACTATTCCTATTATCACCTTATAATTTTATTTAAAAATCCACCAATCCTTTACTTTCTAGACCAGCACTGTCTAACAGAAACATCTGCAGAAATAAAAACATCCATATCTGTGCTGCTCAACATGGTAGCCACAAGCCAAATGTGGCAACTGAGTACTTGAAATGTGGCCAGTGTGGACAAAATTTTAGATTTTACTTAATCTTAACTAAATAGCCACGTGTGACTAATGACTACCATACCGGATAATGCTCTTCTAGACCCTGATACATGTATCTTACATTTCATGGAGGCTGGATCCTATTTAGCTATCCTATTCATGAAAATAAACCACTTTCCTTTTTACACATTATCTGAACATGCAAGTAAGATTAAACTGTATGATATCTGATTCTTTCCAAATTTCTCTTGAATTCTGAGAGCAATAATTTTAAGGCATCAGGACCATGAAGGATACCCATACTTTTAGTTAAAAAAAAAGGAGGGGGCGCATTAATAAAAAAGACTATAATTTGGTTCTGTTCCTCCTTGAAGGTCACTTACAACACCCACAACTATAAACCATTTTGATACTCAGGAATTTTATAAACGCTTAAGTTCTTTGGTTTTGTAGTAATGTTAAACTTAAATCACTGACAAAATACTGATGCAAAATGCAATATATTTTTGTGAACTGCAGAATAAAAATGATCTTGAAATTAACCTGTAGGTTTTTGTGATCAAAAACTTGCTTGCAAAACCCTAGCCAATCACTGAATTCAGTCAGGTGGCTCATAACACAACATGCAATGCTACAATCTTCCATCTTTCACAGAGTTAATGACCCCACAAGTATAGTCTATGAACAGTATCTTTTTTCTAAATATTCCATATGCCACATCTCACCTGGCTTCACGAAAGCTGCATTTAGGTACTTCCTCTTCACCAACTGTTTGATTTAATAGGTGCCTATAAAAGCCACTGAGATCTTTCTGTTTGGTTACATCCAAACGTGCTAAAAGAGGGAAAGCAAAAGTGAGAAGAGTATATTCAACAAGGCACAATGCAGTTCAGTTTTACAGGCACAGATTGTATAGCATACACAGTGTGTAAGCTATCCTCTAGATCAGGAGTTGGCAAACTACAGTCTATAGGACAAATCTGGCCCACTGCCTGTTTTTACAAATAAAGTTTTACTGAACACAGCTTTGTTCATACAGTTATGTATTGTCTACAACTGCTTTTGAGTTATAAAGGCAGATCCTATGGCACACAAAGCCTAAAATACTTACTATTTGGCCCTTTACAGAAAGTTTACGGACCACTGCTATAGATGAAAACATAACGTGTGCCTGGAAAATCTTATAGATTTGATTTGCTTCTACTTAAAGTTGATGACCACTTATTCCAATTAAACCATTTATAAGTATATATTCTAGTCAAGTCTAGAGAAATGACTATTAATAGAAAGTACTTAAGTAAAGCATTAACATATTCTTCATCTTCTGCACGTTTGTTCTTTTTTCTAAATGCCCAGTTGATTCTCCTTGAGTGGTGTTACTCTAGATCTTCTCATTTCAGAAAATATACCTAAGGTTTAAATCTCAGTTTATATTGCTGCTGATGAATGCTATGGTGTTATGCCTTGAAAGAAAAGCTTTTACATTTGGAATCAATGTTCTAAGGCAATGACCTGTAACAACCATAGATTTAAACAACAAAATGAAAAGTGAAAAGTCCTGTAGAAATAATAACTACTAAAGAGTTCAACCGTGCTTTCAGCTAATATCTTCTCCTTGCTTTATAATACTAGATAATACCACATCCTGTATCTTGAATTCGTATACATAAATTATGACCATAACATCATAATCCAAAGGGTCACTGACAAAAAAACAATGGCTAACCAGAGGGCAGAATTCTGCTTCTTTCCTTCTCCTCTCCCACCACCAATCTCACCTTCTAGTGCAGCAGCCCTCTTTTCTCTTTCTTCCTCTTCAGCTCTCTCCTGCAGTTTTTTCTTATAAGCAGATGTCACAAATGCCTCTTTATCATCAAATTCTCCCTTTTCCATTTCTCGTTCTCTTTGAATTTTCTTTTCCATTCTTTTTTCCTGCTCCTTTTTCCTGATCTCAACTGCTTTTAGTAAGTTGTGAATATACTTGGGCTAAGGGAAAAAAAATTTATTTAGGAAAGAGTCAAAGATAGTAACTGTTAATATTCTATTATGTTTTTATCATGAATTCGTAAGATAGAAATGGTTAGTCCAGAACAGGTATGATTGTCTTCTTCTCAAAATTGAAAATAAATTTACTGTCTAGAATAAAATTAAAGTTGTTTTCAATAAAAATTTGAGTACAGGGATAGAAATAATTCATAATGTTATTTTACTTCTTTTTAGACTTAAATATTCCTACTGTTTTTCTCACCGTTTTTACTGGTATGCTTTTAATACTTCAACAAATAAGTGAATCAACAGGAAAGTTCCTACTAATTTTTCAGTTAGCAGAAATAGGATTATTTAAATTAGTAGCTATAATACAATTTTACACCACTACTCTACCAGTAGATATTGAAAGGTGCAAAGATCCTTAAAAATTAGTCTGTGCTTGTGAAAGAACAAGACTGATAGAAAAAAAACTGAACTTATATCAACCCCTACCCCAATTTTTTTTTCAAACTAGAAATATGATCATGATGATTCAGTTACCAGCTAGGAAGCAGTAAATAAAAAAAAAAAAAAAAAAAGGATGATAAAACACTAACAAACATGAACAGGAGCAGTACAAGTTTGATACACAAAATTTCTAAGGAAAAATTTAAAACATTTACAAAGCTTTCAAACCAAACAACAAAATTTATGAAACTGTTAGATAATTCACTTGGTTCTGTTAAGATTCTATACATAGGGCTTCCTGAGTTTTAAATCCAATTGATAATATCTGGAACCAGGGGCTCTTCACACTTCAAATAACCTGAAAGCTTTTACTCAGATCATCCTAATGCTGAAATAAGATTAAGATACAAAATCCAGGTCAAGGTCAAAGAAAGTTTCTATTTTCACTTACAAACCTTTCGGTCTTTCCCCAAAAGCAATTTGGGATTACTTTCTTCCTTTTTTTTCTGCATTTCATCATAAATACTGTCATATTCATACACGGTAGCATCTTCTGCAAGGGCCTTTTGGATTTCCAGTTTGGTCTTCAAAAAAAAGTAAATATGTTTCAAAAATATGTCAGCCAATACATACTACAAAAAGTCCATGTATTTTTTTTTTTTTGAGAGAGATTCATAAAGCAGAAATTTATCATAAAGATTATAGCAATCACATTGAATATCAATTCCAGAGCCTTAGAAAAGTGTGTTCAATCTTTTTGAAAAAGGAGATTAATAATTGTACCTACCTTCCAGACTGTTGTGATAACTAACTTAATAAACTCAAAACCTTTAGAATAGAGCTGCACACAGAACAGCTGTTCAATAAGCATTAACTATTATTTGTTCATTTATACATAAATATAATCCACCATCAACAGGTCAAAAGGTGCAAAGTATGACTTAGAAATACCTAACCCTGGTTTTGAGATGCTTATATATTAAACTTTCAAATCATTTTTAGTGAGTTGAGTTGCCAAATAGAATGTTTCATTTTCAAATGTCTAATGGTAGGAAATACTGTTTGAAAAGCTCTCAACATAGCCAGTAAAAAATAAGAACATTTTGTAACTAATACTGCATTTCAGAATTTTAATCTCATAAAGTCCTCTCTTTGTTTATGATGTTCCTTCAGTCTTAAATGTTCCTCCTCATGCTTTCAAGCCATCAAAATCTTATCCAGAGCTTCAGGGCTATTTCAAGCCCTACCTCTTAAAGTAGGTGTTCTCTGAGGACTTTAACCACCAATGATCTCTTCTGAACTCATGGCACACTCGCCACTGCAATATTTAACTCTTAATAGGCTTGATGTTATTACCTTCTGATTGTTTCCCAAATCTTAGCTTCTCATCCTAGCTTACAAACTGCAGAGTCTACACACTATAACCTCTTCTTGAATTGCTACAATGCCTAATACAATATGGAACACAAAAGGTCACTAAATTCTTTTGAAACAGAAAGAATTCTCCTAATAGTCTCAGGTTTCTACATATCAATACACTGGAATGATGTATCATGCTAACTTAAATTTTTTCTGAAATATTGTTTAAAATATTAAATTCATAAATTTCCTCACTTTTCAACATTTACTATAACCTTAGAAAAACAATTTTCCTGCTTAGATGGTAAATTAGCACTCTTACTCCCTCCCGAAAACCAAACCTGGAGAACCCAAAGAGGCAGACATATAATCTAGGACATAACTACCACAAAAAGCAAGAGAAACTCCAAGAGAGACTGAAGGCTATTTTAAAACTGACAGCACACCTTCGTGCCTTTGTGTATGCTGGGAGGAGAGCTGCAGTGGGTACTGTGGTCTGGGGCCAAGTACAGCTGGTGGCTGTGTCTGGACAACTTAGAGAAAAGAGGACTTAAGTTCTGTTATTGCCTCTTTTTCTGCTACTTTGGGATGAGCAAAGACTTGCTCCTCCCTGCAAAGATAGGTGGCAATACTGCATGAGTCCAAGACTAGGGCCACTGCAAAAGTCCTGTTGAGGTGAGGAGCAGAGGAAAACAGCTCGAGCTGGGAGTTCAAGAATTCACTAGTTTCCCCACAAAACCCAGCGCTGGTGGATCAAAATCTAAACAGCCTGGTTCCTTTTTAGTGCTGTTTCTCCCTTAGGGTAGGAAGGTCATACCTGGACCTGAACAGCTGCTTGGTGGAGTGACTGCTTTTTGCATTGCCTGGGGTTCTACACCCTAGGGCTCAGTCCCTCTCCTACTCTTGAATTCATCAGGAATGTGGCTAACTAGGATCTGGTCTTTGGCCCTTCTTTAATACATATTAGAGAATCACTGAGTGAGAGATTATGAGCTCATAGACTAAAATAATTAGATAACTGAGTGGTATTAACTTAAAAAATAACTAAAAAGCACTTAAAAAAAAAAAAAAGCCAAGTAGACAAACATATATCTCTGGAATAAAAAGTTATCAGGATCTATGAACCAAGATTTTAAAATAAGCAAGATAAATAATAAATTATAAAAGAAATATAGAAGATATTAGCAAACAAAACAAGAACAAGAATTCATAAAGAAATAAGTGGAAAAATTAGGTATAAAAAATATAATAACTAGGGGATACAAATTATAGGTGGGATTAGCAGAATGAATTCAGTTGAAGCTGAGCTAATCAACTGGAAGACCGGATTAAACAACTCTCCAAAAAAGAAGCAAGAGAAGATATAGAGGAAATAGAAAAGTTAAGATATGGAAAACATAAGAGGTGCCAATATCTGGAAAAATGAAGTCCCAGAGTAAGACAGGTCCCCAGGCTGTGGACAATTCCACTGTCTCAAGCAGCTTGCGTGGCATGCCCTGTAGCTTTACATTAGAATCATAGTTCCTCTGCCTGACATCTCCCCATAGCTTTACATTAGAATCCTGGTTCCCCTCTCCTTAACTGCTGCCTCAAAACTAGAGGAAATTGGAGGAAATCAGTTTAGGGGCCATGTTGACATTAAATACCTCATGCACAGTAACCTCCCCACCTCTGGGTGGAGTTTAACCGCCATTTTCTGAACATGCGATGCATGAAGTTATATGTAAACCCCATTGCATCTGTGTAGTATGATTAAGAATGTTGCTGACTTAACTTGTATGAACTTTCTACTTGCAAACCCCTTAAAAGAAACTTTTCCCCTCGCCCTTGCTAGCAGTCTTGGTGGCAGCAGCCCCAACTGTTCCTTTCCTTGCACAACGAGATAAAGGCACCTTTCTACTCTCCCACTACAGTCTCTCGTTTAGTGGCTGAGACGAGTCACACAGAGCAGAACCTGGGGTTCCACCTGGCAACAAGAAGAAGAGAAAAGCAAAAATTGAGGGGAGAAAATACTCAAAGAAATAATGGCGATAATTTCCTCAGACTAAAGATGAATAATCAAGAAGAACACTGAGTGCCATAGAGTGCTGAATAGGAGAGATGAGGAAAAACTCTCACCAAGACACATGGGGTTGACATGAGTTGGAATTGACACGATAGCATCAGGTAACGGGTAGACACAGTAATGTTGAATACTAGCACAGCAAAATGAAAAGAAAAAATTCTGAAAGCTTCCAGAAAGAAAAAAGCAGATCACCCACAAAGTAACAAGTATTGGACTGATTTTACATTTCTCAACAGCAGCACTGACAGCAATGAAGACACCACAGTAGTGATTTTTAAAGTAATAAAGAAAAAGAATACAGAATTTTATATTTAGCCTAAATATTTAAATGCAAGACATAAAAAATATTCTCAGACACACAAATGCTCACATTAAATATACTTTTGGACAAAGTCCTCAAGAAATCCAGGAAATGATGAGGAACCTTCATAAAGCTGTCTGTATCTTAAAAACAAAAGACAGACAAAAGGAGTGGTGGGGTAGAAAAGAATGAGCCATCACTAAAATTCAAGACCATGTCAACATAATAGGAGGTGGGCAGAGACCAAGGTATGATAGTGTGCTCAAGTTCTAGTCTTTTTAGGAGGAAGATAAAAGATATCACAATTAAGAAGGCACACACAGGTTAAGAGCTCAGCTGCTGACCAAAAGGTCAGCAGTTCTAATCCACCGGCCACTCCTTGGAAATCCCATGGGGCAATTCTACTCTGTCCTATAGGGTCACTACGAGTCAGACCTGACTCGATGGTACCTAACAACAATTGGTTTAAAAAAAAAGCTAAAAACAATTGGTTAAAAAAAAAAAACTTCTACCAAGAAAACTAGGTTAGATAGAAAGCTTTCCTGGCAAGTTTTATCAAACGTTTAAAGGAAGAAATAATTTCAAATGTATATGTTACTTGCTCATTTTAAGAGACTCAACAAAGCTTGGTGTTATCAGACTTTCTAATTTTTTCAATCTAGATAATTACAATGAAAGAAAAGGAAACTTATAGGCCAAGCTCATTTATGATGTAAAAATCCTCAACACTTATGTAAATAGCCTAAATTTTAGTAAACCAAACGATAATACGTTATGCCCATGTTGAGTTTATACTACTTATTCTAAGTTACAATGATTGATTTTCTAAAGTTAAACCAACCTTGCACTATTGGTATGAAGCCAACTTCATCATGAGGCCTTACCCTTTTTATAGAGTCCATTCATGATTTTAAAAAATAAACAACAACAAATAAAACCTCTAACCAGGAAGAGAAAAGCACTTCTTAGCTCAACAACAGGTATCTTCCAAAGATCTACACTAAAATGTTATATTTAATGATGAGATATTGAAAGCTTTGCCAATGAAATGGGGAATACGATAAGGTGTTACCATCATCCAATCTGTGCACCTCAGGTCTAGATAAGAGGAAAAAAATGGTTTGACCATTAAAGTACTCCATTTCTAGGAGTATTTTCTCTTAGATTAAGTAAAAGCAATCAAGCCAGTATTCACTGTGAGAAAAGCTGGTTTGGGATCAAGGCAGAAAACAAGAGCTGAATCACCCAAATGGGGGACAAGATGAAGCGTAGCCAGCATATGTGGGAGACCACAGCAGGAGCAGTCAGGTGAAAGTACAATAAGAGTTGTGGTACTGTTCTTAATTTCCAAGCAAACAATGAAAAAGTCCCACTAATAGAAACAGCGACTTTGAAAAATCCAGAGTTAAGAATAAAATTAGATTTGGAATTTATGCCTTATATATAGAAAAGGTAAGCACAAAAATAAAAGAACATGAAAAAACAACAGACCTACAGGATTTTGAAGAAGTCACTTGACTCCCTGGAACTCAATTATTTCGTCTGTATACTGAAGCAGTTGAACTTGATGGTCACTCTAAAATCCTACTGAGCTCTAAAATTCAGGTTCAAAGCACTATAGTATTTACGTTAAACAATCACAGATTTTTATGTGGATATTAAATAATTTTGAGATTGCTGAGTTACACATTATAATATTCCACCATGAAACTGAGATAGTATCTTAAAATAAATGAATACATAATTCTAGGCCAAATCCCCAGGGAAGCAGTATAACACAGCGGCTAAAAGCTTGGGCTCTGAAATTTCACTACCTGGGTATGAACACAACTCCATCAATTACTGTGTGACCTTAGGCAAATCACATACATTCTTTTTGCCTTTATTTCCTCAATTGTAAAATGGGATTATAAGAACATCTATCTCATAGGATTGTTAGAAGAATTAAAGGTAATTCCTGGGAAGTAATTAACATATGACACATACGAAATACTCAATAAATTTATCTTATACTGAATTCCAGTTAAACAAGGGAGAAATAGGTACCAAGAATTGTAAGAAAAAATTGGAAAAAACTAAAATTGAAGGAAAAAGCTTGCCAATATTTAGTTTTATGTTCTGTAGTAGCAAAATCTGAGATATACCAGTATAGAAGAAAGATTAGCAAACCCTGAAGCCTGCTTCTGTAATTAGTTGTGTGATCATGGGGATAGCTTACCCTTTTTAAGTTTCAGACTTCTTAATCAGGACCATGAGCAGGTTTGTGACAATTTAAAAAGATAATATATATACATTTATGTAAAAAGTGCTTAGAAATACTATACAGCACCATATAAACAGAAGGTGCTACTAAGTCTATTGAAAATTATCCAACACCCATTCTTGAAAGATGCATTTCAAATAATTATAAAATTTTAAAATCACTATGCTTGTGAAAAGACTTTTTTTAAACCAGTAAACTCACTAACAAGGATTATTAACCTAAACAGTCCACCGCTAAACTAATGAATGAGTCATCATCTAAAGAGGAGAAATGGTTTAACCTACAGCACAATTCTTCATTCTGTTTTTCTGTTAAAATTTATATAGGAAATGTACAACCTACGTAAAAGTCAAGAAACATCCTTTTAATACATTTTTACAGAGTAACAAACAACATAGAATTATTTCTTTACACACACCTACTCTGCTTTAGTTTCAGCACCAAGATATCAAAACTAACACTTTAAAATGTCAGCTGAAATACTTCACTGAACACATTTAACTCACTCTTCTCTTACCTGTTTCATGGCTTGCTTCTTAGCAGCTTCCCTCTGAAGGCTTTCACTCACAGAGGTCTATGAAACAGAAAAAATCCTGTCATTCCTTCCACCCATTTGAAATTTCTTTTTCAGTATTCAAGTTAGCAACTAGTTCCTTAACGTGATAGTCAAAAGTAGAAAGATATCATGATTTAAATGAACGTTTTCAAGATCCTTCCCCTAAACTTCAGGAAACAAATGAATTTTCATTGCAAATCATCAGTCTGTAAGGTGTTAAGAGAAAATAAATAATGGTACAGGAAAGAATGATGAGACATGGGTTTTTGGTCCTAACTTCACCACTAAGTTATTCAACCTCTCTGGATTTCAATTTCCTTTATGCACAAATGTGAATGGGGGTGGACTGGACTAGATAACATTTCAGGTCCCTTCCAACACTAAAATGGTATGATTCTCAGCAACAAAAAATACATTATTTTAATATTCATTACTGAATATAGTATATCAAGCTCATGGCATATGCTTTATGGCTTGTTGCTAGGTGATTTCGACTCATAGAGACCTCATATGACAGACAAGAACTGCCCCACAGGGTTTTCTTGGCTGTAATCTTTATTGAAGCAGGCTGCCAGGTCTTTCTCCCTCGGAGCCACTGGGTGGGTTTGAACTGCCAACCTTTCAGTTAGCAGTTGCACACTTAAGCGTTGCACCACCAGGGCTTCTTCTTTATGGCTAGGGGCAGCCAAAATTATCTGTGGCTATAATCATTCAACAGACATACACTGAAAGCCTACCACATGGGGCACTGTTCTAGGTCCTGAAGATAGAGGAAAACAATAACAGTCTTTGTCCTTGAAAGATAAACAGTCTGAAAGGGAAGACAAATAACTGAAGAAATAATTACAATATAAATGTTATAAGCAATGTAATAAAGGGATAAACAAAGAACTGTGGGAGCCCAGAGAAGAAGGCAACTAAATATATGAGGAATCAAGAAAGTGTTCCCCAAAGAGAAATTAAATTAGACCTGAATCAAAAAGAATAGAAATTTAAAAGAAGGATATTTTGGAAGTAGTACTAACAATACGGGCAAAAGTAAATAAAGATTAATAACTAGGAAAAAAAGTATAATTAGAAAACTTAAAAAAAAAAGTTTCCTTGAAAGTATAAGGCTTTGTGAATATATAAAAAACACCCAACCGTACACTTTAAAAGGGTGAACTTTATGGCATGTTAACTGTATCTCAAAAAACAAACTAAGGCTATTGATGAATTTATTTTTTAATTAAAATTATAATCCTCAACCTCTGGATTACAGTTGTCTAGCCTATTGACATTACCTTTTAGTTGCATACTATCATCAATCAGTGTGCTTCCTTTGTTTTTCACAGCAATAAACAGAACAAAATACACAAGCCTAATTCTAGCTCCCTAGAAACAAACTCAATATACAAAGGCCATACAAATAAAAAAACACACATTGAATAAATTAAAGAAGTGTATAAACAAAGGGGAGCCCTGGTACCGCACTGGCTAAAGAGCTTGGCTGCTAACCAAAAGGTCGGCATTTTGAATCCACCAGCCACTTCTTGGAAACCCTATGGGGCAGTTCAACTCTGTCCTATAGGGTCACTATGAGTCAGAATTGACTCAACAGCAATGGGTTTGGCTGTTTTTTATAGACAAAGGAGTCCCTGGGTGGTGCAAACAGTTAAGTACTTGACTACTAGCTGAAGGCTGGCAGTTCGAACCCACCCCGAGGCATCTCCAAGGTCAGGCCTGGTGATCTGCTTCGGAAAGGTACAGCAACTAACAACAGAGGAAGAGATTCTGATAACAAAAACAATAGCAGCTAACGCTTATTGAGCCAGGTGCTGTGTTAAGTACTTTCCGTGTATTTACTTTCCATCATTTGATCAAAATTTCCAATACACGACAGGACACTTTAACTCATTTAAAAATTAAACATGCTAGTAAAAAAGTCTCACAAAATTCTTTCCCATGTATTTTTGTCTTCCTGATTAGCATAAATGAAATATTGTTTCTTGATCATTCAGCTGGTTGTGTGTGCGTGTGTATAGCTGTATGCTATTTTATGATAAGAACAGCTTCATGTAACCACCACCACAATCAAGATACTTAACTGTACCAACGTTAGGACTCTGTAGTGCTACTCCTTTATTGCTCGACCCACCTCCTCCCACACACCCTAATCCCTGGCAACAAGTAATCTGTTCTCTATCGCTATGATTATATGTTATTTTACAAATGTTAAATAAATAGAATCATGCACTGTGCATCCTTTTGAGATTGGCTTTTTTCACTCAGCGTAATTTTAAAGGTTGCATATTTTGTTTAGTACAGATGTTGCAAAATACTTCAGTTCTTGGTACAAAATATCCTTCACCTACAAGTGACCTAAGAAAAAGCTGTTAAAAATTATCAAGGTTGAATGTGACCCAAAACACATAATATAATCCTTAATTTAACAGCTACAAAATTAGCAGGCAGATAATTATTCTATGTCTGAAGACCAGTTCAAAGTATAACACAGGAGAGCATTCATTAATGATGCCTTCCAATGTAACCCCAAATTATCATTAGTTTTAAATTTAGGAAGACAGAAATTACTCCTTATAAGGGCCTTTATCTTAAAAAAGTACTAAGATCGAAAAGTACAGAATTTTACAGGGGCGACTACTGATTAAGCATAACTTTGATTCATTTTAAAAGACATTTAAAGAAAAAATAATTCAATTTATAAATAAGTTCAAATGCAAACATTCTGCCTGTTACCATAAACCAAACCCAACCCAACCCATTGCCAATTTCGACTCATAGCGATCCCATAGGACAGAGTAGAACTGCCTCATTGGGTTTCCAAGGAGGAGCTGGTGGATTCGAACTGCCGACCTTTTTGGTTAGCAGCTAAACGCTCAACCACTCTGCCACCAGAACTCCACTGTTACCATACCACACTGATATTTCAAAATTGGAGAACTATATTACATTTATGCGTAGTACCTTAAAGACTAATCTGTAAGTCCAAGGCAGTTCCAATACAAATCTCAAAAGAATTGTTTTAGTTTTCAAGGAATTTGAAACTCATTCTATGTCTATGGAAGAATAAAGGTCCAAAAATAGTTAAATCAAGTTTGAAAAAAGTGTAAAATAGGGCACTCATCCTACTCTACTGTAAGATTTACTACTAAGCCATAATAATAAAAAGTGTGGTATTATCATAGCAACATACAACAATGGAACAAAACAAGACAGCTTAGCTTAGCACCAGACTCATGGATATAGGGATATATGGCAACTTGACATGATAAAAAACCCAAACCAAAAACCCACTGCCATTGAGTCGATTCTGACTCACAGTATAGGACAGAGTAGAACTGCTCCATAGGGTTTCCAAGGCTATAATCTTTACAGAAGCAGACTGCCACGTCTTTCTCCTGAGGGAGTAGCTGGTGGGTATGAGCCACTGATCTCTGGTTAGCAGCCAAGCACTTCAACCACTGCGCTACCAAGGCTCCCTAGACATGATAAAGACAACCTACAAATCAGTAGGAAAAAGATGCACTGTTTATAGATGATACTAGGAAAACTGGTTCATGCGAAGAAAAATAATGTTGGATCCCCACCTCACACCATACAAAAAAGTGGGCTCCACATGGATTAAAGATCTGTATGTAAAAGGTATTATAAACCCAATAAAAGGAAAGAGAGAAGGCTTCTTAAACAAGACCTCTAAATTACAAACCATAAGGACAAAAGCTGATGGTCTCGACTATATTAGAAAGTGAGAATTTATGCTCTATAAAGACCACTACACTAATGGTCAACACTAAGCTGCAATAACAAATTAGTGCTCACTGTTACTGAACATTTTGATCAAAGATTCCATAGAAGAATCCTAATCAAAAGAGGGAAAATGCAGAACAGAATTTCAAATTCTTATGGACCCTAGACATCCTGCAGCCATGAAGGATGGATGAACCCCTGTAACTATTGCTGAGATAATCTTTAAACCTCAAACCAAAAATATCCCCCGAAGTCTTCTTAAAACCAAACAATTGTTTAGCTTAACTAGTAAAAAAAAGTCTGCCTTGAGCATTATGCTCTTTTAAGAACTAGCTACATGGGATCAAACTGACAGGAGCAACTCAAAAGACTGGATAGCAACCTCCTGGGCAGTGAATTTATGTTAATGGAGGAGGACCAACTCAGAAAAAGGAAGGTGAGAATGGTTATACAACTCAAAGAATGTAATTAATATCAATAAATGGTACACGTAGAAACTGTTGTATTGGTGTATGTTTTGCTGCGTATATTCTTGACAACAAATAAAATTATTAAAAAAATTTAAATACTCAAAAACAAACAAAAACTAATTAGCTCTCAAATACTGAACTTAAATTTCTCTCTTAGATTACTGTCCCAGGGGGGTTGTTCACTTTGGCAAGGCAGATATGTTCCATATGGTCATTCAGAAACCCAAGCTCTTCCAGCTTGTTACTCTGCCATTTCCTTAGGGTATGGAGAAAGCTGGGTCACGACTCATCCAAGTTCCAGCTTACAACAAAGAGAAAAATAAGCCTACAGCAAAAAATAAATAAATAATAAAGTAGAAATTTAAGCTATTAATGTAGAAGTACACCTAATACTTTTCCCCATATTTGACTGGAAAATTAGTCACGTGGTCTCAACTAATTAATTAATGATAAATTAGAAAATGTAATCTCTAACCAGGCAGCCATGCACCCAGCTTTAACTGTTACTATGGAAGGGGAGAAGAGATTTTGGTGAATTATTAGCACAGGGACCACAAACAGAGATTTCCAATGTGTAAAACCAACCAGGGATTAATATCTAAAAACATAAAAGGAACTGTTACAAAGGGGTATGAATAGAAAATTTCCAGAACAGTAAAAAGGAATGCCTAGTAAGTATACGAAGAGATACTCAACTTCATTGATACTTAACTTCATTAATAATCAGAGAAGTGCAAATTAAAACAACTAAGAATTGAAAAAATTATAATAAAGTGCTGATGAGAAGACAGAGAAAAC